GCATAGCAGGACACTGCCAGGGGAGATTGGAGGGGTGTCAAACAACATCAGTAAGGGCACCTGATCCTAAACCAGGGGAAGTGAGGACCAGTGGGAGGCCCAAACTTTAACTTTGCATAGACCACTTAGGTACCTAATTCTGACTTGTATCTCACATCTTTAAAATACAATAAAGAGAAAAATAAAATAAAAAAGCAATTCCTACCAAAATGCCAGTGATATTTTTTATAGCTATAGAAAAAAATACTCAAGTTCATCAACAACCACATAGGACCCAGCTTTCCCAAAGCAATCTTGCAGAAGAAACAAAGCTGGAGTTCTCATACTTCCTTATTTGAAAACATATTAGAAAGCTATAGTAGTCAAAGTACTGGCATAAGACATATGGGTCAATGAAACAGAATAAATCTATCTGTATAATTACACTTTCATATGTCAAATATTCTTTTTAGTCTTTTTGTGTATGTGTGCTTGTCTTCCTTTTCTTTTTCAAGATTTTTTTCACTATTTTATTTTATTTTATTTTTTTTGAGTTGGAGTCTCACTCTGTCGCCCAGACTGGAGTGCAGTGGCGGCTCCCAGCCACCGCAGCCTGGACCTGCTGGGCTCCGGCGATCCTTCCGTCTCAGCCTTCCAGGTAGCTGGAACTACAGGCGCGCACTATCATGCCCAGCTAATTTTTTTATTTATTGTAGAGATGAGGTCTCGCCAAGTTGCCCGGGCGGGTCTTGAACCCGCGGGCTCAGACAATCCACTCACCTCAGCCTCCCAAAGCATGGGATTACAGGCTGAGCCACTGAGTTCGTCTTTTTTCACTATTTTAAATTGCCAGCATTAATTTTTGCAATTTGCTATGGCTAGGGTTAAGGTTGGAGTCTGGACTGTAAATCTACATTCTTCCTGTTGAGAGTCAGTAGTGCTTTACCTCTTTCTAAAATAGAGTTTTCTTTGACTACAATGTCTTGAGAATCCAAAAGAGGAGCGTGTAGATGAATCTAAATTGATATAGGCAAATTTTTTAACAATAAAAATGAGGACTATTATCTAGTTATTATTTTTAAGTATGAGAAAAATCTAAAAATGTCAACATATATGCAGTCATTTTGAATTTTAAGGTAAGTATAACTTATTAGAAGGAACTTAGTACATAAACAATAGTCTAGCCCATTCAGTATTTTCTTCTTCTTTTTTTTTTTTTTTAAATTCCTTTGACTTAAAAAATAATTGAATTTGTTATCCTGAGTTGTGGATTCATCTCATGTCCCATGATGTTAACTTAGTCTCTATTTCATAAAAACTGGAAACTTGACCTGAATATTTGATTAAACTTTTTAAGAAACGAGAAAAGTTTATAAGTATACTGCTTAGTTTGCACTGAATGACAAGGAAGGCATATAACTATTCTTGTTTTTCTGAAGTTTTGATGCTAAATTTCTGACTTGCAAATTTACATGGGGCAACCACATGTTTCACCATAAAATTTTTCCTTAACTTTTATCCTAAATCTTTATTTATTTATTTTTAACTGAAAAATATAATTGTGTATATTTATAGGATACGATGCGATGTCTTGATCTATGTATACATGATAGAAAGATTTAATCAAGCTAATTAGCTTATCCTTCACCTCACCAACTTAATCTTCTTGTTTTTTCTGTGGTGAAAAAATTTACTGCTTTCATGAACTGTGGTCTTTCCAGTAAAATTCAATATCTGTTTGTAATTAAAATATTTGGTGCCAGGGTCGGTGGCTCAGCCTGAAATCCCACGCTTTGGGAGGCCGAGGTGAGTGGATTGCCTTAGCCCGCAGGTTCAAGGTCCACCTGGGCAACTTGGCAAGACCTCATCTCTACAATAAATAAAAAAAAAATTAGCTGGGCGTGGTAGCGCACGCCTGTAGTTCCAGCTACTTGGAAGGCTGAGGCAGAAGGATCACCAGAGCCCAGCAGGTCAAGGCTGCGGTGGCCGGGAGCGGCCACTGCACTCCAGTCTGGGCGACAGAGTGAGACTCCAACTCAAAAAAAAAAAAAAAAAATTTGGTAACCTGTTATTTTCTTAGTGAATATCACTATAGAACAATGTCTTGTATAGAACTTATAGAACTAAGGTACCTTGTAGAACTAAAATAATTTTCAGAGTTTTAACATGTTGTGTAGCTACATAGGACACACTAAACTTATTCTGTTATTAATAAGGAACCCAGTGCAGCAAAAAATCCAAATTTCCACATACTTGTGGTAAAGTTTTGCAGTTTTTTATGTAAGATTATTTCTTTCCTAAAATGTTATTTGCAGAAACTTTATATGTTGTAGAGTAGAGGTCAGCAAACTATAGACTATGACCCAAATTTAGTTGCACCCATTCATTTCCCTATTTGTCTATAGTTACTTTTACACTACAATGGCAGAATTGAGTGGTATGAAGAGGAAGTATTTCTTTCTCCCTTTCAAAAAAAAAAAAAAATCAAGTACCTATCCAATTATGTTTTTGTTTTGTTATTTTGTTCTATTAGTAGAAGGTTATTTCTCATGGCCTCTAGAGAGTACTTTTTAACTTTCCAAAGGTCTAATAAGTTTACTAATTAATACTTTTTTCACTGTTTTCTTTTTGCATTGTGATACAAAATATGTTACTGTTAAGAGATACCTTTAGTCCCTGGATAGTGTGTTGCAAAGGGATTGCCCACAACTCTGGTTGTCCTACTCATGAAAGCATTTCTTTCAGGATCCCATCTCAGGTTTATTTGTCGTTTAACCAATAAAAAGCAGAATAAACTAAAAAAAAAAAAAAAAAGTAATAAGAGACAAGCTTCAATTTTTGCTAGTACTTATTCACCTTAGCAAATTTGAGTTGTGCTCTGAACACAGTGAAGAAACGCAATCTGTGTTGCAGAAAATTTCCTGTTAAGCAAAGGTTTGCTTCTTTCTTTTTACATTTTTTGTTTCTTCCTGAATGTACTTGATTTCACATATAGTGTTTACCAAGATATGAAGCAGTACTCATTCTTTTTTTTTTTTTGAGTTGGAGTTTCACTCTGTCACCCAGGCTGGAGTGCAGTGGCATGATCATGGCCACTGTAGCCTCAACCTGTTGGGTTCAGGTGATCCTTCCTTCTCAGCCTTCCAAGTAGCTGGAACTACAGGCACATGACACCATACCTGGCTAATTTTTTTGATTTATTGTAGAGATGAAGCCTCACCAAGTTGCCCAGGCTAGTCTCGAACACCTGGGCCCAGGCAATCTTCTCACCTTGGCCTCCAAATGTGCCAGGATTATAGGTGTGAGCCACCACGCTCAGCCAGTAACTATTCTTGAGAATAACTCATAGTTAATTTGTTTATCCTCCACACTCCATTTTTTTTTTTTTACATAACTTTAGTTATATTTCTTTCTCTTTTTTGGGGGGCAATATATCATTGAAATCAGAAACTTCCTTATATATAATATGAAGTACAGAAAATATGCAAATTTGTAGTTAATAGACCTTGCCAGAGGTTATTTTGACCATTCCTTTGCCTTCTAAAACCAATCAGTCAAAATTTCTGGCTTACTTTTTTTTCAGGAAAGTAGAATATTGTACATAAACTAAGTTCATTTTAATATACTTCCATAAGTGTAATCTGCACTTAAAGAATGTCAAGATTAGTGAAGTCACATAAATTACAATAATAAAATTAGAGACATCATGTAAGTATAAGCTGTAATTTTATAATTTTCATTATTAATTATAAGTACAAAATTTATATAGAAATGTATGCACATAATTTAAGATTGATATAGTTATACAATTACAAAAGACATTTCCGTAGTGTGTAAATTGTTGAATTCATTGTCAATTTTCTTTTTCATTTTATGATAGATTATTAAATAGTAAACAAGTGTGCTGCTCAATCTCATGGCTCTAAATAAGCCTTTTAAATTTAGTTTTTATTCTTTCTTAGTTTCTGCATTTTTAAAATTAGAACAAAAACTTATTCCTTTCATTATGTCTCTACTGAATTTTATTTCAGAACATTTTCTAGTTATAATAACATAACTTAAACACATATATTGCAATTGTGTTTAAATACATGATTCTTTTGGGTTTTTTTTCATTTGTAGTGATCTTTAAATTGTCTTGTGTGCCCTCTGCCCTCCATTTACACAGATCTTTGCATTTGTAATTAGGTTTATTTTTAAAAAGAAAGAAATGTCTCTTCCCAGAACCTTAGCATTCTCCACTTGTGTTTCCAAGTTCAAAATCCAAAGGGAACAAAAAAGCAAAAGAAACAAGGAAAAAAGATTGGACAGAAGGTAGGATGGAAGAGAAACAAGTTAGATTTCTTTGTGGTTGGAAATACATGCAAAAAATACTGTTATTTTCAGCAGATGAACTATATCACTAATAGGGCAAAAGTAATGAAAGAAATAATAATATGAGGTTAATATGCAAAAGGATAAAGCTTTTGTCAAGATCAGACTTCCTTGTAATATAAAAAAGATAAATACAATGTTATATATTATTTTGTAACAAAGAAACTAAATAACCACTAAAAAAATTAAGTGCAACTATTAGTTGAACTTAATTTTCATTCCAAATAAAAATCCAAAGCAGATTATGATGTCTGTGAAAAAAAACTTTACTAAGAAAGGCAACTCTCAGTGGTAGTAAATTGATAATTAAATCAAGAAAAAACAAACAAAAAACCCCCTCTTGTTTCCAGACATTTTTCCATAATTTCCATGTCCCCAAAGCACACTTTGAGGGAAAATCTGCATATTTGCAAATAAGTATATTTGAAAAGGCTTACCAATCAGATTGAGCTCTTTACTAGGAAAATTTTTAAAGACTAGTAATTCATTACTTATGTTCATTGGTGTTTTATAAAATATTGGGAACATTATGATTAAATCGTTTTTTTCTTCCATGTGGGTTCACCAGTTATTTTTCTAAAACAAGCATTCTGACCACTCATTTCTTTCATTTTCACCATCCTTCTAGTTCCACCTAGATCTCAGCTATGAAGAGTGAGATGAATAGAAATTACTCAGAGATGACTGAGTTTGTTCTCTTGGGATTCAGCAACTCCCCAGAGCTGCAGATCCTCTTATTCTTAGTGTTACTGATGATATACATGGTCACTCTGGTGGGAAATGTCAGCATGGACATTGTCATTAAGGTGGATTCCAGACTTCACACACCTATGTATTTCTTCCTAAGAAATTTATCCTATTTAGATCTCTGCTATTCCACCGTCATTGCTCCCAAAACTTTAGCCAACCTCCTGACTGATGAAAAGAAAATTTCACACTATGGCTGTGCAGCCCAATTTTTCTTCTTTGCCCTGTTTGTCACAGCTGAATGCTTTCTTCTGGCTGTCATGGCATTTGATCGCTTCTCGGCCATTTGCTTCCCTCTCCTTTACCCTGCACACATGTCCCAGAAAGTCTGTGTTCAGTTGGTAACTGGATCCTATACCTGTGGATGCATCAACTCCATGGTACAAACGGGTTTCACCTTTAGTTTGCGTTTCTGTGGAGAAAACAGACTGGACCACTTCTTCTGTGATGTCTCAGCCCTGATCAAGATCTCTTGTGTTGACACTTTTGTGAATGAAACTGTACTGTTTGTTCTCTCTGCTCTCGTCATCATCACCACCACAACTGTCATTCTAGTTTCCTATGCTTATATTCTCTCTACTGTCCTGAAGATCCCCTCCACCCATGGCAGGAGTAAGACCTTCTCCACCTGTGGCTCCCATATAGCGGTGGTGAGTTTATTTTACGGAACAGTGTTCTTCATGTATGCCCAACCTGGGGCTATCTCCTCACCAGAGAAAAATAAGATTGTAGCTGTGTTCTACACACTCCTAATACCAATGCTAAACCCTCTAATATATAGTCTGAGAAACAGAGATGTGAAAGATGCTGTGAAAATAATATTATGTAGGAAATGATTCACTCAGTGAGATTTATAAAGCCATAACCTAGTGGACAAAGTGTGTTTTCTAAGCATTCTATTTATCCTTATTCTTGTAAAAGTATCATATCAAAGATATTTATATAATTGCATACAGCAATTATCCTCTTTCTAAGTTTTACAAAATATTATTTCTAATAATTTAGGTACACACAATTTAATTTGCTTTGAATACTATGTGAAAGCACATATGTTCTCAATTTGTGATATTTCAATTTGTAATACTATTTTCATTTTCATTTTACTTTAGGAAGTAAATATTAGGAGTTGTTACTATATGGTTATTAAAATAATCTCATACCTGTGTATATTATTCCTTATCTTTTTTCTTTTTTTAAAGGTAAATCCACTGCTTGGTGGTTAAACAAAGGGGCAAGGGTTACATAGGATACCAGGTATACATTCTGGGAAGTATTTTCTTGGAGTTACCATGCTTATAAAAAGAGGACTCTAAATATATAATTTAAGAAGCAATTCTATTAATTTATTTATTTTTAGAGACAGTCTCACTTGCCATCCAAGATCATAACTCACAGTAGCCTTGAAATCTGGCCTCAAGCAATCCTTCTGCTTTAGCCTTTCAGGTAACGGGGATTACAAGCATGCTTAAGAAGCAGTTCTTCACATAAAAGTTGTGGCAATAACATTCTACTAAATTTTATTTTCCTATTCTTCTCTTAATGTAGTTTTATGTCATATAAAAATAAAAGCTGACACAAAACTTTCAAATTTTCCAAACTGGTGTAGCTCCATCATTTTTCTTATTCAAATACATGCCAATGCATATTCCAAAGCTAGTGGAATATTCTGAAAATATAATTGAACAGCCTAAAATCAACCAGTACTGACAAGAGGTGTGTAGACATGGGATCAGTTCTGGAAAATACTAAATTAGATTTTTCTCCTATTATTATTTCTGTAAACATTATCCTGTGTTTCTGTTTTCTTTAAACATTTTAATTGAATTTTTGATATTTAGCAGTATAACATTTGGATATGACTTTATTCTTTGATCTTTTAAAGTTTATTGCCTATATTTATCATTCAAAATCAGATAAATATTTTTAAAAAGTTGATGTCTATGTGTCATGGTTCATTTTTAACAAAGTTAATATTTCATATCATTATATTAACAGTTAATATAAAAGTTTCCTTCTATAGCTTGTGAATTGAGATCAAACTTAAGCTTTTCTATTAATTAGCCAATTTTACTAACATCTTTAGAAAATATATAGACAAGAAATAAAAGTTTTTACCTTTTGCTTTTTCTTTTTATTTCTTTAAAGATATAGAAACACTCAGAATCTAGGAAGTTAACTGAACTAAAAGTTTTAAAAATGTATTCATACTTATACATGTTAAGTCAGGCCAGAAAGTTAGTTCTTTCATTCTCTTCCTCAAAAGATGGGTTTTATTCAACCTTATCCCATTATGCCAGTTTTTAAAAAACAATTGGTATTAATAATTTAATTTAGGCAAAAGGAGACGTCCTAGACTCTCAAGCCTTCCCTAAATGCTCTCTTTAGTTTAATTTGACACTTAATTCCAGCTAATTAGTACACAACAAATACACAACATTTTATCAATTAAAAAACATTGAGATGATATTGTTAATTCCTGAGGGAAATTTTGAAGATGAAAAAAAGAACTAAGCCGGGCTCGGTGGCTCAGCCTGTAATCCCGCGCCTTTGGGAGGCTGAGGTGAGTGGATTGCCTGAGCCCCGGGGTTCGAGACCTGCCTAGGCAGCGAGACCTTATCTCTACAATAAATAAAAAAATCAGCCTGGCGGTAGCGCATGCCTGTAATTCTGGCGGAAGGATCACCGGAGCCCAGCAAGTCAAGGCTGCGGTGGCCAGAAGCGGCCACTGCACTCCAGTCTGGGCGACAGAGTGAGACTCCAACTCAAAAAAAAAAAAAAAAAAGAACGAATTAAATGAATCAACTATACAGAACATTTCAAAATTTTTCTATTTGTAAATAAAATTGTGTTTGTCAAACAAATAAGTTAATAATACTTTGTTTCAATTTTTATTCCTTAGTCAAATCAGTTTCTCAGATAAATTCATGATAGGACAGGCAGACAAGCTAAAGCAGGGAAAGAAATTACCGGTTTTCCTAACAAATATTAATTAATAGGGCTTAAATTACATCAAAATTCCTAATAAATAATAATAATGATTTTGGATTATGAAGTTTATTGTTGTAAACTTATTGTACATTTTTATGCATAATAGGTTTTATTTCAAATTATTTGTATTTGTCTATCAATTTGCTTGTCTACATTTATGCTGACATCACATGCTTGTTGCATTATAAAATTTAGTATAATAAGCTAAATCTGTTTCAAAAAATTTGTAGCTAATATTACTCAATATTTTAGTGAACTTCAGAATTATTTAGCATTTAAAAAATTCCTAGCTGTATTTTAGTAGAACTGCACTTGATATGTAATTGATTAACTTACAAAACACAGTTGTGAAAACAAGGTCGAGTATTGCCTCTGCTATCAGACAGCCTAGGATTTTGGGAAGTCCTTGAATTGTTTTAAGGTTAAACAGGGACTATCAGTTTACTTAGCTTCATTCAATAGTTGTGAGGATTACACAAAATGCTATAAATCAAGCTTTCAGCACAAGAAAGTATTCAATTAATGGTAGCTTCTATTATTATTCTTTCCATTTTCATCATCATCTTTTTACATGTTTTACTGATATCATGGAATTTCTATATTTGAGAGCCACACTTTTTTTTAAAAGTAAACTTATTTCTTTTCATTCCATATATTGTTGCAACTGTGGCAAAAATCTTTATTAGCTGATCTATCTAATGAATAATTTTAGGACATAAAGAACTTTTAAAAATTACGATCTTTATGTTATATATGTTCAACTTACTAAACTTTCATTCCATTTATATTTTTATTTGTTTATTTATTTTTTATGGAGATAGGGTCTCATTCTGTCTCCCAGACTGGAATGCAGTGGTGCCACCACAGCTCACTGAAGTTTCAAACTCCTGGCCTTGAGAAATCCTCCTATCTCAACCTCCCCAGTAGCTGGGACTATAGGCTGGCTAATTTGTCATTTTTTTGCATTTTTTTTAGAGATAGGATCTCACTATGTTGCCCAGACTGATCTCAAACCCCTGTACTCAAGTGATTCTCCTGCCTCAGCCACCCAAAATGTTGGGATTAAAGGCATGAGCCACCAGTCTCAGCCTCATTTTTTTTTAGAGTTTTTCAATTAACTTCAGATTTAAGCCTGCTCAGTACAGAGCCAGTTTTTGAAGTTTTCATCAGTACTTTCTTAAAGAGTTGATATAAATTAAAAATACTTTCCATATGTGTCAGGTAGTGTGTAAAGTATACATGCATTTCTCTAATCCTCAGATCATAATTATGGTGAAGGCCACATTATATATATTAAACATGTAATTTAAATTAATATATTTTACAAGTTTAGTAATTGTGTCTTAGAAAATAAGCAATGTGCTTAATTTCACATTGTCAGTAACAATCATGTCTAGGGCTGAAATATAGAACTTTCTTACTCTAGCTTGGGTGTAGTAGCTCATGCCTGCAATCTTAGCATTTTGGGAAGCCGAGGTGGAATGATTGTTTGAGACTAGGAATTTGAGACTAGCCTGAGCAATATGGTAAGACCCTGACTCTACAAACAAAACAAAACAATCTGGGCTTGGTGGTGCACACCTGTAGTCCCACCTATTCAGGAGGCTGAGGTGAATGGATCGCCTGAGTTCAGGAGTTCAAAGCTGCATCGAGCTGTGATGGTGCCACTGCCATCCAGCCTGGGCATCAGAGTACAACTCTGACTCAAAACAAAAACAGAATACAGAATTTTATTATTCCAAAGACCGTAGAAGTAAAAATCATGTTGCAGTGGCTCATGAAAGTTTTATCTTTGTAAAGGTCTTTGTTACCTCAAATGTAATAATGCTTTTTATTAAAATCTTTATTTTTTTCATTAATTTTTTACTTTTTTGGTATATCACAAGCTGAATGTGCAAAAGTATTGTTTGTGGTTTTTTGACAATTTCTCTGTGATAATTTTTGCATTATATATACTATGCCATTTAGTTGTATATTTTATCAATATATGTCTATTTCCTTGTTATATTTATAAGTGTTTTATCCTGAATACTGTTTTATTTAATATCAATAAGGTATGGCCTATTTATAAAATTTCATATGGTATATCTCATTGAAACTTTGAGTTTAACGTTTTGGATAACATTTTATATCTGTTTTATCAAGACTCCCCCTCCAGCCCCTTACCCCACACACATCAGAGACACTTTATTCTTAAATAAGAGGTATGTATCTCATTTACACTAAGTGTAATTATCTATTACTTTTCTTCACTTTTGCCACTGTTAATATCTTTGTTCTTTCTGTGTTTCTTTTCTTTTCTTTCTTTTTTTGGTATCTTACTATTCAGAAAATAGTTTATTTGCTGCTTCTATTTTGGAGAGGGATAGATAAACCTACATTGCACAATATCACTTTTGTTTAAGTAAAGAGATTTGTTCTCCTTTTCTGTCTCTTTAATTGTCCCCATTTTAATGTAATTTTTGAAATGCTATTAAAAAGATAGAAAACTCTCACAGTGGGAGGGGACCCAAGGGGGTTGCCCACCTATGTGTATTTAGAACCATAGAAGACAGTATTATAATTTTTACTTCATCCATCAAACATAATTTAGAAAACTCAAGAGGAAAAAAGAACGTTTAAGTGTTTATTATGTTTACCTAGAATGTGGTATATCATTGATCATGTGTCTTATTATGCTTTGATTTTCAATTTTTTAATGTAACATTTTATAGCTGTGACTTTTTATAAACCAAGCTTCCCCTGCCTCGACATAAATGTAATTCTCTTAAAATGAGGGTAGCATATCTCATTTATATGCATTGTCATAATCTATTATTTTCTGTCTTTTGTCCTTTCTAATGTTTTC